CAGGAAAGCTGAGGTCGCTCCATGTAGTGCACTGGGAGAGCTGACCTGTAGCTTAGTTTGGGGTGGAAGTTGGAGCCACTGCCAGACTTCCATGAACTCTTCTGCCTTTGTAGTATGACCCACAGTTTGGAGACGCTTTTTGGAACAGCAGCAAATATGGCATGGTGACCTACCTCCTCAGAATGATGACCAGCTGGGCCATTGTCTGCAGTGTCTGGTACTTGCCCCCAATGACCAGGCAGGTGAGGTGAACCCCACCTGTCTGATCACTTTCCTGGTTGGCCCTTTGCTCCTGCTGAACAGTCTTATTTTGCCACAGCCTGAAGAGGATGCAGTGCAGTTTGCCAATCGAGTGAAGTCAGCCATTGCCAGGCAGGGGGGCCTTGTGGATCTGCTCTGGTGAGTCCAAGCAGGCTTTTCTCTTTGGGGTGCCAGAGTTCCTTTTTCTGGGTCCTGGCATCTGCTCATGGGCTGTAGAGCTCCATTTGTTTCTTGCTTAGGGTAGAGCAGGCCTCTGGAGGAATGTTCTTCTATAAGAACCAAAGTCTTTGCTTCTTCTGTATGTTTGGTATCAGGGCTTCATTCTGTGATTGTAGGTTTCATTGGGATGCCCTGGGTTAGACTCTACTCAGCAAGGTGTGTTCAGCTCAGGAACTTGCTTTCCCAGGCACTGAGGTCTCAGAGCAGTCAGTCTCCTGTAGTGCTACTAGAGTAGCTCATGTTTCTGGCAGAGTTGCTATTTTGAGCAAAGTGCGGGGCCATGGGGGCAGCTCCTGGCAGAAGCAGGTAAGAAAGTGGTGCCCTTTGGGGACAGGTGGTCTGCGGTGTGCCCTTGCAGCATGTGGTAGAGGGGCAGCTGTCAGCACTCACTGGAATTCTGACTTGCCCTGAACAGTCCCAGATGAAGATGGTGCCTGCCTGCAGCCTCTCTGATACAACTCTTTCCCCAGGGACGGAGGACTGAAAAGGGAGAAGGTGAAAGACGCGTTCAAGGAGGAGCAACAGAAACTCTACAGCAAAATGATTGTAGGCAGCCATGAAGACCGGAGCCGCTCCTGAGTTTGCTGCCTCCAGCACCGACTGGGGCTGGCCAAAGCCAAAGCCCCTTGCCTCCAGCACCGACCAGGACTTGTCTGGAGCAATTCTGAATCTTTGGACTTGGGCTACTCCAGAGCCGCTAGGACTTGCTCTTTCATCCTCTGGCTGTTTTTTCCCAGAGGCACTATTGCTGCCTGGAGTCTTTAGGCCTTTGGCAGCTTTGGCAGAGATGCCTTCTTGTTACTGTTACACTGAAGCTCCTTGCAGGGGCAGTATTAAATGAAACTCTTATGGTGTCATGCGCTTCCAACTGGTGTGTCCAGCCCCAGGGAAGGACAGGTGTGATGTGCATATGTGTCAGTCACAAAAGCAGCACAAAAGACAGTGAGCTGTGCTGAAACTGCCTGCTTTGACAACCAAGGTTGTCACTTCCAGATCCACTTCCAGAACAAATCTTTCTTTTTTGCCATCTTCCTGTCAGCTTGACCCAGACTATTGCTTCTACAGTGTGCATAGCCTCTTTGCTGCTGCTGATGCAGTAAGGATCATAGTCCCTGGAAACCTCCTGTCCCCTGGGGCTGCAGGGTGCCAGGTGTCACTGGGGTGGCGGGTGGGGCTCCAGAGGAATCTGTGCATGCTATAGTGGGAGCCTAGGGTTTGTAGGAGAGCCCAAGACTTCATGGCTAGGGCAGCAAATCCCTTTTCAAATGTCTCCTGAGGGAAACAGTGGCATTTGACCTTGTCATGCACACACATGGATAGTATCAACTTGTTGCAAGAAAACAAATCTAGTGCTGGAGGTGCTGCCCCTTTCTGCTCTGCAAGTAAATTACTCAGTAAAACAACTTGCATTGGAGCATTTGTCCCATGACCTTTCCCATTTTCCTTACATGCCTACAAACTTGAGCCCTTACACTGGGTTCTCTGCTCTTACAAGCAAGAGCTGTTTCTCTGCTGCCTGCTGAAGCCTGCTTGCATTTTCTAGCACTCTGGAGAAGGCAGTTACCTAAATGCCTCCTTTGTACCTCAAGTATTTGTTGGGGAGGGCATCTGCTATGCCAGGTGAGGACAGCTGTGCTGTGTAAGTGGCCTTAAATCTGAATTTTCCTGCACTTTTTATTTCCCTGATGGAACTTTGCTGCTCCGGCTGCAAGCTCAGGGGCCGTTTGGATGAAGACCCCTACACTGTACTGTGGTCTGGCAAGCCCTGGAGGGAGCCACAGTGAGCCATGGGCTGCTGAGGCAGTGCCGTGCTCGGTACTGTGGATGGTCCTTCCCCCTGTGCAGAGCTGCAGCTGGGGACACAACTGGTAGAGACATGGACATCACTGACTGCCAAACCCTGGGTCTCCAGGCTCTCCTTCACTTCTTCTGTTCAGCAGCCACTCCTGCACCATCAGGGGCTGTGCCCCCAGAGCTCTCCTCTCTGGGGCTGGGACACACATTTCCTTCAGGCACTGCTGAAGGCCACAGGCCTCTCCCACCCCCCTGCCATGTCCTCAGGCGCTTGGACCCAGCTGCAGGTGCCCACAAGTCTCCTGCCTGCAGCTGGCTCCCCTGTCCCTGATGGCACGGTGATGTGCTGAACCCTCATCAGCTCTGCGGGACATCCAGCTGCCCTGCTGTGCTTGGGGACCATCCCCAGCAGCGTTCAGGACACTCCACAGCAGGCAAGGAGCTGGCTGGACAGGTTAGGAGGCACGCATCCATCTTTCCTTGGCTCTCCCACTCCATGCCCCCAGTCAATATGTCTCTCTCCGATGAGAAAGTTAATAAATTTAGCTCTAGATTAAAAGTATCGATCATTTCATTTGTAAGCGATAAATAACCAGGGGGGGAGCACTGGGCGGCCCACGGGGTAGGGGCTGCTGGCTCTGGCTGCAGCAGCCATGCACCCCACTGGGGCCAGGAGCCCTCATATGCATTCTGCCTGAATGCTGGCATTGATTTGCTATTAGTCTCCACGCACCACCCAGTAGCACATCATTCCCGGAGCTGCTATTAATGGCCTTTTGATAAATAATCACTTGTAAGTCAATAAATTTTTATTAAACAGTGTGGCGCTTTGATTTATGAAAATCCGACGGGGTTTGTCTGGGAGAAAAGGGATGCAGAATTGAAGCAGAGCTGCTATCCATCTGCCTGCCAGGCTGGCCTGCCTGTGCTCACACCCCCGGCGCAGCTGGCTCCTGCCTCTGCCCACACAGCCTGAGCCTGCCTGGCACCAGGCACAGGGTGGGCAGAGCTGGTGCTCCTGTTGAGACCCCCAGCACTGACAGGGCACCACTTCGATGCAGCAGCAAGTGGGAAAGCGGGAGCTACAGTGGGCAGCATCGGCAGGAGAGGGGGTCAGTCCTGGCTGCGGGGCTGGGGCCCTGCATGGATCAGCACTGTTTGGGGCCCTGTCTCAATGTGGGGATGCATGGGGCAGCCAGGCTGCAGCAGCCATTTGTCACTATCCCTGGCTACAGCAGGCCCTTTGCCACCTGCTTTATTTGTCTCCCAGCCCTGACGTGGCATCAGACAGGTGTTAAACTACTTAATCACTTTAAAATTGTTTTAATTTTCTGTTTTGTATTGATCTCCACAGCACCAATTAATCAGCTCACTGGACCAGGCAGTTAGTACATTAAAAATTGTCAGCCAAGCTGGGCAGCTTAGAAAATGTTAAAAAAATATCCCACCAGCAGCCCCTCACTTCTCCCACCATGTGGAACCTGCTCCTGCTGAGCACTGGCTCTGTCCACAGACAGTGATGTGTCTCCTCCAACCCTGCCACCAGCCCTGAGCACCCTGCTCCCATGGGATCTGCCATCCCACATCCTTGCAAAGGGTCCATTAGCTCTGTCCTGGCCCAGCATCTGTCCCATGGAGGCAGTGGAAGGGTTGCATGGCTGAGGAGAGAGTATTACAAGCCTCATGCTCACTGCAGGGGCTGGAAAGGAAAGGGACCTATGTGGGGACAGTAGTCCCCTAAGCTCTGGAAATGTGGCATCGAGTAGTCAGGTCTCTTTGCAAAGTGCCCACAGCCCAGTGAGAGACTGGAGAGAGCTTTAAGCCAAGTGTGGGCCGTGGCAGGTTGTACAGTGATGATCTGCAGCCCCACACAAGGCTAGTGCTCTTGGCCACTGAAAGGTGCCAGTGGTTGAGAGCTTCAGCTGTCCCAGGCGTGGACTCGGCCACCAGCCCATTGCAGGTACTGCCTCCACCAGCCCCATTCCTACCTCTTCCGTGCCTGTGCCATGCTGCTAATCAGTGCCTGATAGGCCAGCAGCACCTTATCTGCTATCGATTTCCTTCCAAGACACAGCCCACATGTTTGCTCACACCTAGCTGGCACTTAGTTGGCTCTTGGCTGAACAGCTGCCAAGCTTGCCTGGCCTTCAGCACTGTGCCTGTGCCAGCTGGAGCGTCTGCGGCGTCCTAAGCAGGTAAGGACAGCTGGCCCTGCACAGCACCCACAACTGGCATGCCACTGGTGAGCCATGGGGAGCCAGAACAGGGGGTGTGGGCACACCCATGTGCACGCACACGTCTGTGTGTGCAGCCCCCATTGCACAGGGGTGCAGCAAAGAGCAGGGGGGACCTGCTCAGGTTGGCAGGCAAACACACTGGGGCTATTGATGCCACATCAATCCTGCAGCCCTGACAGGTGAATGGGCTCTCACTCACACTGTTAAGATAAATGGTATTTATTTGCTGCTAAGAGCTTCCAATAAGAGGCCCCAATGGGTGACTTTTGAACCAGCAGCTCTTGCTGCTGGTACACGCCCAAATCAGAGAAAACTCTGGGAAAATCTCCAGGGTGCCCCTGCTTTTGTGGGAACTTCCTGCTCCACACCATGGACCCTTCCCCTGCCTGGCATGCAGACCCTGCCCCGTACATCCTAACCCCACCCCTCCTCTGGCCCAGCCTCACAAGGCCACCCTTGACCACATGCCCATGAAACAAGTGCCGGGACTTGACTGGGACCTTTATTTCATCAATGCCGATAACACGGCTGCACCTGACACTACCACGTGTGCTGCTCCCAGCCCTGCAAGCCATGCTCCCCATCCAGCTGTCAGCCACCCCATCCCAACAGCCAGGCACCTGCTGGTGATGGGAGTCACCCCCTGGCAGGATGCAGGTGACTAGGCCAGTCATCTCCTGGCCCAGAGGGGCAGGCTGTGCTCAGCCACTGTGCGTGCCCAAGCCCAGCATCGAGAAGGCCGCACGGTGCTTCCTCAGCAGCAGCCGGATCTTCTCATCATCTGAGTCTGGGTCCAGGGGCTTGTTGTACTCATCATCCTCGGTCTCAGAGGCCGCCCGCTCTCCGCCAGAGCCCCCCGCCCGGTGCGAGGATGAGGAGGGCTCCAGGGCACTCTTCTTCCTCCATTTGGTCCGTCGGTTCTGGAACCAGACCTGTTGCCCCATGGGCCCAGCTCAGTTAGCAGCCAACACGCTGCGCACCCTGTGCCACACAGGGACCAATACTCACCTTCACCTGAGACTCAGTCATGCCAAGAGAATAGGCCAGCCGTGCTCTTTCCGGACCCGCCAGGTACTTGGTCTGCTCAAAAGTCTTCTCCAGAGCAAAGATCTGGTGTCCCGTGAAGGTCGGGCGCGTGTGCTTCTTCTTGTGGATGCTGTCAGCCAAGTGAGCAGGGGCTACAGGAGAGGAAGAGAGAAGTGGGTGAGCTCTTGGCAGCTAACACTGGACAGCTCTCCCCCTGTACACACTCACCAGCCCCCGGTGACCAAAGAGTCCCTCCACACCTGCTCCCCTCCAAATTAAAACTGTATTCCTGCTTCAGAGATTCAGCCCCATCCCAGGAGGGCTGAGCTTCCCACTGTGCAGGTCCCACAGAGCCAGAGTTGGGCTAGGCACCTCCTGATCAAGGACAGTGCTAAGTGGTTGTGGTGCAAGGGTAAGGGTCGCTATCGACAGTGCTTGACCCCAGAGCCATGCAGCGCTGGAACTCTGTGCCCCCATGCCCCACACCTTGCAGGATGCATGACAGAAGACAGGCATAGCTGGTCATTGGCTCGCAGCTGTGCCAGGAGCAGATGGCCAAACTGCCTAACCCATCTGCTCCAAAATCATCACCTGCAAAGGGGTGAAGGGGACCAGAGCTGCAGGCTCTGAGCAGCTGCACCCAGCCTCCTGGGGCTTCCCATGTGACAGTGGATGCACCCATCCCACCTACCCTCTGGGACAGCAGCAACATACTCTGCAATTCCCCTGACTACTCTCCACCAGGAAGGCAGCGCTGCCAGCCTGGAGCTCTGGGCTGGCTATCCTGCCTGTCTCTGCCATGAACTAAACCAGGCACTGACCCCCAGTGGGGCTGTCTGAGAGAGAGGCAGATCTTGTGAGTCAGAGGGCTCTGCCTGTCCTTGCCAGTTGTGGCTGCCTGAAGGCAAAGAATATTGTATTTGCCATTAGAGCTGCCCCTGCCCTTGAGCCAGAAGTTCTGTCACAGTTTGAGGTCCCGCAGCTCTGGCACTGGGGTCTTCCTCACTATCACTGCTGGCCGACCACCTGTGCCTCGTGCAGGGCAATGGAGAAGACACAGCCTGCCCCTTGCCCTTATGCCGATGGCTCAGGACTCTGCAAGGTGCTCGTCACCTGCGGCACCCAACCACCCACACCCAGCCGCTCCGAGCCCCCCGTACTTACGGCCGCCGCACTGCCGGCCGCCCCGCCACTCCGGGGCCGCCTCCGCCCAGCAGCTCCGGCCCCGCGGCAGGTACTCGCCACCAGCCTTGGGGAGAGCGCCCACCTGGGGCCCGTAATAGACGCCCGGGGAGCTCAGTCCGTTAAATCCGCCCGCGTGGGGGTAGCCAGGGAGGAGACTGCTGTTCGGTGTCGCCGCGGGCCGGCCGAGGATGTCGGAGATGCCGTGGGGGGTGCCAGCAGCCAGCTGGGCACCCAGCCCGGGGGGTCCCAGCTTGTAGAAGGAGCTCTGCACTGAGTACTGGCAAACAGGCGCCTTGGCCTCGGGAAAGGGGCCCAGCGAGGAGCCGTTGAGCAGAAAGGTGCCTGGCAGGTTGGCATCCATGGCTCTAGCACCGAGGCGGCCCTCAGAGCCCGGAACCCCGGAGGTGCGATGGCTGGCCCATTACCAATGGCCTGGGGGCTACAGAGCCCCAGAGCCCGCCCTGGCCCGTGGGCGCCTGGCTGGCACTGGGATCCCGGCGCGGGCCGGGGCCGCGGGCAGTCCGGGAAGCGCCCGGTGACCTCGCAGCGCCTCCGGCCCGGACCCTCAACTTGAGCTTGGGCAGCGCCAACATTTCTCTGATAAAGACGAGGGCTATTAGAATAACGCGCACCCATTGGCCTGCCGGCCGCGGGCGGCTCGCCTATTGGCCGGGCCTCGGCGGCCGCGGCAGCCATTGGCTGCGCCTCAGGGCAGCGGGCGATTGGTCCGGCCCAGACAAATTGCGCTTTGAACACCGGCGGCGGCGGGAGCGGGAGGAGTGGGACTGAACACGGCTCGCTTCGGCTCGATTCGGTTCGGCTCGGC